TGTAAACTTCCTGAAGGAAGCAAGAATAAAATAGGTGTATGGCACATTTATCATGTTAAATCCTACCCTTCCATAAACTTCAGTTGGAAGAAATCCTCCAGATACTACTACAAATGAAAAGRAGAAAGATGGACATGTAACAGTGAGCAAAGGTCAGAAAAGCAGATGTTACCTGTATCCTTAAATCCTTTACTACCATACTTGAGAACATTCTAAGTGGTTCTTTTTAAAAGTTGTAGTCTTATTCCTTTCTTCAATTTCCAAAGAATTYTTAAACTAATGTCAAAAGATATTCTTCATCGGATATAAATGAATGAAATTATTACTCACGGTGCCAAACTTATTGTGGAAGTTTCTACTTATATTTAATTTTTTTCTTTAATATTTTAAATTTCCTGAGCCAGACAGTCCTATTAACATAGCTGATGTTTTTAAATAAATTACTGAATATAAAAAAAAAAAAAAAAGTGATTTAACAGTTCTGTATCATCACACAAGACTGACAAAGTAGGGCTGAACGTTGAAATTACAACCATAGACCAGGCCAACATGCATGGAATAATAAGTCTGCAGTTCCCACTTTAATACATGAGAAAAGAAACCAAAAGCCTTATTTTTAAAGACTATAATCACATCGGAGTCTGGGTGATTTTCCTGGGAACAGATACTGGATATTGTCATTACTTCCAGTCAAGATACATTCCTTGGGAAGACATCCCAGTGCTTTCCACTAAAATCTTGTAATTTACAGCACAAAGAGTATTTGGGAGTGAATCACTCCCTTTTTGTCTTCCCCARGAAAGTGCCTAACGTGGGTCAGCCCTTTCTCCAAGGCCTGAGCAGACAGACAGACCATTCTTGCCCCTGAGCTGTAGGYAGCAGTGAACCAGTTCCGTGGGTTCAAAAAGCAAGCTCCAGAAGACAAACCTGCTGTGGCACAGTAGACTGCCCCTCCCCAAATCCCCAAACTCTGCTCGAGGTTCCTGCTGAGCAGTGGTAAGAACAGCCAGACATCTCCCCTCAGTCACCCCCACTTCCAGCTGGGATTTAGCCTGAAGCCTCAAAGCAGGAAAGTGGGATGGGGGCTGCTCTCAAACACCAAGGCAAATGTGGCTTGAAACAATCAATTCTCRCCAACTTTCTCAGCAAGCTTTCCACACTCTTGGGGGGATAATCAGACTGAAGTTTACACTCAYTGCTAAATCAGACTCTGGTTGGTAAGCAATGAAACAGCCCAAGTTTGRGGTTTTTTTWAATTATAACTTACATGGGAAAATGCCCATCTGTGGTGAATAGTTTTGAAGGGTCAGAGAAGTGTTAMGTATGTACACTAAGCATATTAAAGTACTTGGTGGGAGGAATAGAAGCAATGAAGCAGCATGGAGACAACACACTCCTGACTCTGTTCCCATCTGCATGATGGAAACGTCAGTTTATCCAAAACTCTCTAGTGATCTTAACCATTTTCAGAAAAAAAAGTATTTGTGACTCTTGTCACTTCTGAAATATTTCCAGGACTGTGCTGATGTCTACAGTTACAGCTGTGCACAAGAGAAAATAATAATTTCTACTTAGAACTCAGAAACAAATCAATGAACTGTCCAAAACCAGACTGAACTCAAGTTACATATTTACACCCAGTTATCTGACTGGCATTTAAATTAACATATGGAACAGGATGGTCTGATTCCAAGGAGCAGAACTCTCAGGACACTGAACACAGACCAGCAATGTCACAGTACAGCACACCAGTAACTGTGCAGTGCTGTCAGCAGTTTAGGGACAGGAGAAACTGGTACTCAGAAGCATTTGAATTCATGACTGTGCCTATCCTTTCCATATCAAAAAGAACAGAACGAACAACAGGATATGAAAATATTCATTTGCTACTAACTACTTGAGTAAAGAACTATTTTGAATTAGTAAATGATGATGGAGTGGCAGTAGAAAATCTTCCCAGAATGGACTGACATAGGTGAAAGAATTAGAATGACTAAGAACTGCTGGATAGAGTAAAAAGATGTTCTAAATACCTTGGCAGTATCATTTATTGAAGCCAAAAGCTGTCTATTATGTTCAATTATGTCATTTAATACAAAAAAATCAAACATGTCTAAAAATAAGACACAAGACATGTTATCACAAGCATTGTAAAAGTCAGCACTTGTAGGTTGTCTGACACAGCTGTTGCACACTGACACACCAGATTACAAAAAAAAATGCAGCATATATGCAGACCTTGCTATCTGTCACAAAAGGCAACAGCCATGTACAACCTGTAGAAACAATGCAATGTACTTGCATTAATAATATTCATTTCTTTCACAGGCATTAGAGCTAAATTAGAATTTACTAAGTCAAGCCAATTATGACTGAGAAGGATTTGAAATTGCATGGAATTGTTCAGACTTGAAGAAAAATTAAAACGTTAARAACAAAAGAARACTGAAACAAAACCAGAGGCTATTCAACAAAAAGATATGAAGGGAAGGTCTTAGTTCATAAYTGTACCATACTTTAGTTACTTTGCACAAAACCAGTGAACATTTAATAAAATTACATTGCATCAGACCTCAGAGAGAAATGCTGTGGAAAGAAGGGAGGATGAGCAGCATTTCCAGTTGCCATTGAAAACAAGTTCAAGAATTGCCTTTCAATTGCATTGCTGATGGACTACAGTCACAAAAACATAACAAGAACAAGACAGTTAAGAACTAGAATATTCAAAATTTAAATGAAAGATAAATAAGGGAGATCACTACATCAGTAAGTTTCAAAGCAGAAACAGTAATAAAACAATCCAGCAAAAAAAATCCAAAACAAATAAAATTTACCAAGAATTAAGAAACAGTCTCTGCTTAAGGTTTTGACATTTGTTTTAGAAACYGAAGCAATGTAAAAAAAAAGTTTAGACATGTCCCAAATTTACCTACTGTATGAAATCATTATGTTACTCATAAGGCACGACATGAATAAGAAAACATGTTAACATGAAAGCATATGGACAAGCATACTGACGCTGCAAAAAGAGTGGGTGTGTTTAGCTTGTGCTGAGCACTATTAATTATCACTCAATCTTTAACATTTCCCTTTAACATAAAGCGAGAATGAACGCATAAATTAGTAATCTAATGAAACTAATGAAAGTATTTCATGACCATTGGATTAGGACTGGAGTTTAGAGAAYCACAGCAGGGAAACTAATTAGGACGTGGAAAATGTCACAGAACTTGCAGGTGAAATATCCAAATGCATTCCAGGGAGGAAACACCACCATGGTCCTTGAGAAAAGCCCTGCCGACTTCTTTTGTTTTTACACATACCTTATAGAAAACGGGCCTTATTCTCCTACCTTATCGCATCTCCTCACCGCCCCACAAGCACACACGTGGATATCAGCTTCTCCCAAAAGGCAAAACACCGCTTTCCCCCCCCTCTCCCCACGCCGAGGAGGAAGTTCCCCGTTTTTATAGGAGCAAAATGCCGGCATTCCCGTTCCCAGAGCCAGGCCTCCACCAGCAGGCGAGGATCCCGCGCTGCATCCACAGGGAAGCCATTCCTGCGGCCGGGAGCAGCAGCAGGGACGGCGCTCTCTGACCCCGGCTGGCACAAAACCCGAGGCGCCGGGGATGACGTGCCGCATGTGCAGACAGTGCCGGCCCGGGCCGTGCCCACGCCGGCAGCGAGCCCCGATTCCCAAGAGCCTCMAGCCCTGAGGCCCGGGCGGGGCGCGGTGCAGCCGACCCCTCTCCCACGGTGGATCGGGCGCGGCCGCCGCCCAGGCCGAACCCAGCGGCGGCGGCCGGGCCGGCAGCACGGGATGAGGAGGGSGGCCGCTTCCCTACCGTCTCCATTGCCGTGCGCGAAGGTCGGAATTCCCTGCCGGCATTACTCACCGGGAGCTGTGAGAGGGGAGCGGCAGGAGGAGGGCTGGGAGCGCGCGCGGTGCCCTCGCGCCGCGGCGGGGGAGCGCTGTCCGGTGATCCCGCGCGCGGGCCCGCGCGCGCRACGTGCTCGCGCCGCCGCCACCCGGCCAAGATGGCCGTCGGGCCCGGGGGGCGGGGCCTGGGCACGCGGCACGGAGAGGAGGGGAGAGAAGGGAAGGAAGGGCGGCCCTCGCCATGGGTAGGAGGGGTGGGAAGGGCGGCTCTCACCATGGAGACCGCGAGCGCGGTCGTTCCGGAGGGAGGGCAGCCTCCCGGGGCGGGTCGGAGCCCGACTCCCCGAGCCCGCCGTGCGAGGGGCGGCCCCGCTTCAAGGGGAGCCTGCGGTTCGGCACGGCCCGTTCCCAGGACAAAGGTCTTGCTGGTCTCTACCTTCATTGGGTAGATGGTCACGGGCAGCAGCTACAGTTAGACCGGGTGCTTCTTTTCTCAACGAAAGGTGTTGCCATTCCCTTTCCTGACCGCGGTTTCAGCTTTAGAAACCGAGTTTCAACATCGGATACGTCCGGCGATTGATACGACGCCAAAGGTACCACGATAGAATGGTCTTGCTGGCCTTTACCTGCCCTGGGCAGCCTGTTATCTGCAACGGGAATACTGGGGCTACGTGCTTTTATTGTCATCGGGCAGAGCTGCCATTCTCTTTCGGCAGCCCATCTCCTCACTAAGGATACCACCCGCAGTAATGAATATGTCCAAGGATTGCTCCCACACAAGGGGTGCCACAACACCAAGGTCTTGCTGGCCTTTACCTGCCCTCTGGGCAGCATGTTACCTGCRTCTGAAACACTGAGATACGCACTTTCTTTTCCGCAGGGAAGCATTTTCAGGGGCCCACCACGGAACTCGGGTTCCATACCCAGCGCCTGGGAATGCACCCCAGGCTCGCTCCCATAGCGGAGGAGCCGGGACGCGATGGTGTCACCGCACCCCGCTCCGCCCCGCCCAGCGCGTCGTGTGAGGGGCGGTCCCGGCGCCTGAGAGCGGGCGGGGCGGGGCGGCGCGCGCGCACTGCGGCCTCCGCGCTGCGGCGGCTCCCGGCGGGATCAGGTGSGAAAGGTGGTGGGAGCTGTGGTTCCACCGGGGCTGTGAGGGGAGGAGGAACGTCCCGCTCGGGCAGGAGCTCGGCGGGCTGAGGTAGCGTGTTCGCGCCGCGGCCGGGGGCTGCCAAGCCGCGTCCCTCCCGCCGTGCTTGCGGGGGTCTCGCATCGCCCCCGCGGCCGCAGAGCGGAGCCCGGGCTGAAGATCTGGCGGGGCCGGTGTGTGAGTAGGTGCTGTTGCTGCTGCTTTATTTCCAATAGTTACGTTTTTTTTTTAGGCCTGAGGGATATGGCCGCAATTTAAGTGTTGTAAACCTGGTTAATTATCATGATAGTTATTTATAATTATGATTCATTATAGTTGACGTTATTGATATTCATTGAAAGCCCTATAAACAAGTTGTGGGGGGACGRCTACCAATTGATTTTTCAAAGCGGCTTCATCCTCTGGTTGCTSTGGGTCTTCACGGCAGCTTCCGCCTAATATTTACACTTTACACGTCTTGTAAAGATGTGCTTGTTTCCTAAAAGAGCAGCTTATAGCCTTACCAGGTAACTTTGGAAGTCTGGGCTTCGACAAAAATATATTTTTTAAAAGTATTTTTTTTAGACTGATTAGGAATACGTATAGAAAATCGCTAATATAATTCTATTAATTATCTTTATTTTTAGGAAATTATATTGTGACATTGAAAGACTAGTTATTTTCACTAATAGGCTTAAAGCAATGTGTTGAAGGCAGAGTAAAAATAGTAAGTTTATTAAAGTTGTTTTGAGAGAATCTGAGAGGTCAAGTGTACAGGTGAGCTAGTTGTTGAAATACGGTGCTGCTGAACACTTACTATCATTATTAAATATTAATTAAATGTTGATAATTTGAATGTTTAATCTTACTGTTTAATTTTCAACCTGAGTAAAAAATAGGAAGCATGGTGAGAGTCTGTTTTTTGGATATATTTTGAGATGTTTAAAGGCTTTAGAACAGCARGGGTCCAGCCATAGAAAGTAAGAGCAGGGACAAGAGCTTGCTGGGTAAAATGASTAGTGCAGTTAAGAAAATCAGGGAATCTGAGGTATGAAGTTCCCTTCTGTTAAGAACAGGAAAAACAATCCTAACAGATGTTGCAAAAATGCTRAAGTAGTCAGTGCCTTGTTCAGTTTGCCTGGGAAAAGTACCGTTAGATGTTTGCTAAAACTGAACAAAATTGTATGATGGGAATGCAGTCAGAACAATACTTAAAAAAAGACAAATGCCAGCTGAGCTCTGATTCCCTGAATGATTCTGAGGAGGTGGTTTGGGGAGGGAATTTGTGAGTAGAAGACAATTGAAACCAGTGTGCACACAGGAAGTATTCTAGTGTGGTTTGTTGAGTAGTCTGGACTGAACTATTTTTGCTGTAGCCAATATACTTAGTAAGGAAGGAATATGAGGAGTCTGTCTTAAGTTTTACACAATTTCTGCCATTGTTCAAGCTGCTGAAGTGTGCTCTAAAAATAATTATTTTAAAGATTTTTTTTTTTAAGAGCTTTTGAAGCTGACTTGTAACTCACTTTTAAACAGGGGTTTTGTGAAACATGCTCCTGGAGAGTTCAGTTTTGAGTATATTTTCATTGTTTCTTGTAATGTTGAACACAAAGTTGGAAGGATTGAAAGCACTATTCAGATAAGGGTTGGAATTAAAAATACCTTGAGAAGATCGGTGGCAGGTTAGAAATCAGTGTAACTAAGCTCAGTTAACAAGAACTGAGGGAGAAAGAAAACACAGGAAATAAAAATCAAAGGCATGATTAGTGGGAAGGGTGTCAGCGAACAGCAAACAGTATCCCAAAAAATACTGGTCATTTATACTGCACTTGAGTGCTATTTATTGCATAGTAAAACAATATTAATTGAGAATTACATTCTTACAGCCAGACAGGTGTTGCTTTATCACATTACCAAGTGTGAGTAAATATAAAGACAAGGCAAGTGATTGCACTGTTGAAAAAGGTGTCATTTAGGTCTTATCTAAAGTAGTATGGTTATTTTTTTAAACAATAGTACTGGAGATTTAGACTCTGCAAGAAAATTTGTGAGGGAGCTTGAAAGGCACGTGTACATGCTAGAAAAGAACAAACTGAGARCAAATTTGATGAGAATCCTCACATCACTAAAAGGGTTATTACTATGTAAAGGCCAKTGATTAGCAAGTCTTTGAGTTCTCTGTAGAGCAAGAGATGCTTGTTTTTAGAAGGTGATACTTTATTTGGATGCTAAAAGAAAACATTTAGCTTTAAGGTTGATGAAACCTGAAGCTGGGTGTCCACAAATCTCTTGCTGGAGAAGTAAATGTCTGAACTGACATCTGTTAGAGGCAGTCTAATCTCTCCAAGGCCCTTAGAGATGTGTGTTTAAACAGTTCTGTGCATACGATGTGGTGGAATTGTAAGTTTTAATAGGGAAAAACTGCTTTGGAATCTGCAAGTTTCCTTGAGCCTGGATTTTTRTGTAGTTTTAATAGGAAAGGCCCAGGATGTTTCCTTCTGTGCCTCCTCTTGGGTGTATAGTGTTTCTTGGAGAAAGGTTTGCTTCCGGGTGTGCACTTTTGGTACACTGAGAACAGCGGCTGGTTTGGTTGGGAAAGGCTGGWTGTACAATCATTTAAATGTATTTCACTGTACTTGCTAAAACATCATTAGTTGGCTGTTACTTCACGGGGCTGGGATGTTTTCYGGAAAAGAATGAACTTCTCTGAGGAAGATGAGGGATAAAGAGTTCAAGGAGGGGGGGAAAAACCACTGCTTCATCTTGATCAAAGGATTTGCAAACCACAGTGTGGAAGGTGGCAAAATAGAAGTATGGCCTTGATCATGTAATTGAGACATTTATGTATTTACGTTGTTAAAAAGGAAACAGCAGCCTGCTAATGATCTTTTGGAATAACTGAATTGGAAAWGTGGAGATGTTTCAAGCCAATGCTTCTATAGGTGCAGTTTGTCTTTCCATTTTTTTACCTCATGTCAAGGAGAAGGGCTTTTAGAAAAATTAGTTGTTTTTACACAGCCTGAAAAAAGAAAAGAGAATTTTTATTAGGTGATCTAAATTCCTTTTAGMGCTAAGTATTTGTGTCTCATTTAAAATGGGGTACTTTTATTTCTGTTAGTAAAATGTCCAGAAATGTTACTTGAGTGAGCTAGCCTGTTGCTGCATTATTTTTCCTTAGCAGTTCTATYAGCTTTCAGGTTTTAAAGTTTTGAGAATACTGGGGAGCTTCAGCAAAGCTATACAGAATGTATTGTTCTTGAGCAGGAGTTCTGTCATGACAATCTGACTCATTTAGTTCAGCCACCAAAAATTTTTAGTCTTTCTCATCCCTAGTGCACAATATGTGGCTGATTTATTTGCCAGCAGTGGTTTGGAGTTGAAATTTGGATTTTAAGTAGCTTTGCTTGTTTGATAGAAAGAAACAAGCTCAGTTTAAAATGGTAGGAAATCTGAATGRTGCTTCTTGCTGTATATTTCAGACCCCCAAAATGTAATGCATCCAGCTTTTGAGAACCATGCAATACGAGTCTTGTATTATTAAGTTACTTAAAACTTAGCTCTGTCTGAAACTTCTGTGCTGAAGTTTATAAGAAATCTCAACATCGCTGTCTTAAGGGATTCTGCATACTTTAAAAATTCCAGTATTTTTTTTCTAAAAGCATGTGTAATCAACTTCATTATATAATCTGAGTGAACTGTGTAATTTCTGTGATTTAYCTTATTTTGGTCTGATGTTTGCATACTCCTTGTGACTCAAGGGTGAGATTTTGAGTTTTTCATTCATTTCCTCTTGAAGTCAAAAGAGTGTAAAGACGTGCTGGTGATAGCATTCCAAAKATGTTTTATATGATGTTTTTGAGATATGAATTACAAGTGAACAATTTAGCTTTATTTCACGAGGTTGAATTTTCTATATATATTTTTGGAGGTCATAAGAATAGTATTTTTGGTGTCTATATAAATCTGAGAATTAAAATGAATGCAACACAACCTCTCTTAATTCGTTGTCACAAAAGTAAAAAGAAAAAACTGCACAGTTTGAACTAGTAGATAATTTGAGCTTTAAAATTCAGAAGTCCAAGAAAATAGTCTCCCCTGTGTTTAATAAACATCATTTGTATTTTGGTGCAGCATGGGCATTGGATTAGATGATTTTGAAAATGCCTTCCACTACTCYGAACCATTTTGTGAACAATGATTTTCAAGTAGCTGTGGACTAAGTATTTTATAATTTTTTACAAGGTTTTTTTTTATTTGGATGGCATTAAGACTAATATATCTGTGAATATATATGTGATATCTGTAGGATTAGCTGTGCAGTGTCCAACTTGTCTTCTGAGAGGATGGTGTTTGAACAAGGGTTTTGTCTGGAGCCTTTTGTTTTGTGACACTTGCTGTTGTCAATATTTAGATTTTACTACCCRTACAATTATTTCTTCAGGTTTTTAATGGTAGTTAGGACTGCAGTCTTGTATATGAGAAAGCAGGTACAATATATGTGTCAAGTTTTACATTTGCAAAATTAASAAAAATACCCAAGGGACAGTTGAAAATGTTTGGTGCACTATAGAATTTAGATTTCCTGTGTGCCACTAAGAATTTTTAGCTGGAGTCTTTGGTACATAGACARTGTTGTCTATGCCTTGTGTCAGTTCTATAGTGGGTAAGGCCTGAATCCTGTGGATACCACCCTAACTCAGTACTTTATTTGCTCTCTGCCAGAGGCACTGGAAGACTTTCTCTGAGGTTAGCAGAGCATGATATGGTGTCGTGCATGTAAGCAAATTAAAAGAAGTCACCTCCAATTCCCTGACTCTTTAGTCCTCTATGTTAAATTTTAAGCCTCAATGTAGTTCTTGCGATGGAACTTATGTTTCTGTGGATTTTTTTTTTATATATTTTAAGCTACTTCCTAGGAAATAGTAAAGTGCTCTGTATTATATAAAACCCAATTTWATTAAGTTGTTGTATATGTGGTAATAGTCTGGGTGTTGAGACTGAGTGTGGCTTACTTGAACAATGGKAATCACAAGTTAACGATTGCAAATGAAGTTGTAAAGTTAAAGAAATGGTCCATGAATAAATGTGGCTATAACAATTGCTACAAATTATACAGTTTGTTTAACCTCCCATTTCCTATTTTAGGGAGAATTAGCTCTTGCTATAGTTTCTGAACCTGCATATTAAGAGAACTTTTAAGTGTATCTGTGAGAGAGGATTAAGTTGTATTGTTAACATTTAAATCAACATTTTTAATTTCTTGAAAAACAAACAGAACTGTAAAAACCAAATTCTGAAACCCTAACTCTGTATGCATAAATTAAAATGATACTAGTCAAATATGTCTTATGAATATTCCAAGTATGTATTGAATKCTTAAGGACATAAAATTTACATATAGGTGGAACCTCTTAGATACATTATACATATATGTTCTATGTGTTTATATGTATTACTTCAAATGTAGAAATAAAAGGTTCTACAGACTTGCAAAAATGTATACTTTTATGGGTATATGTATAAACCACATATTCTGTAGGCTATTCTTTAGAAGTACAAGGCCAAAGAATTAAACTGACAATGTGAACAAACAAAACCCTTTCATWTTCCCACTAAGCTAAAAATATGTCAACTAACTCACCTGTTTTCTCTTATTAGAAATGACTACCCCAAACAAGACCCCACCTGGTGCTGATCCAAAGCAGTTAGAGAGGACTGGTACTGTTAGAGAAATAGGCTCACAAGCAGTTTGGTCTCTTTCATCCTGTAAGCCAGGTAAAATCACAACAATGAGGTAAAAAGTTGAATGTGCATTTATGTTTTTGGAAGAAGACATCCACAGCAGTAAAACTGCTATAGTATAGGCTGTATGGGAGTMGCCACAAATAATTTTGGCCTTCTCTATATGTGATACAATATGAAAGTTGTAACTGGATCCGAAATCCTGATATGAGGAGCTATCTCATGTGAAATAAACAGATCTCTTACTTGTTTTATACTAAATGGTTTTGTTTTTCACTTGTTCAGTGAACAAACCATGTGAGCAGAAAAACTTGCAGCACTGTGTAATTGTTTCTGTGCTTTGGCATTTTGTCTGGGTGTCTTCCATTCTTAACTAAGGATGTCGAGGCATCTGACCCGAATGTTCTGCTTGAATTCAGTGTGGACTCAGCCATTGCAGGGTGGCCCTGAAACTGTGCAAGTAAATGAGCCTATGGTCCTGAGGTGCAGTCAGTGATACCTGCTCAAAATACCTGAAAATCTGTATTCTTTCCCTTTGAGGTGGTTGAGTTGCTATTTCAGAAATGTCTATTGGGAATTGATTTGCTGTCTTGTTGCAGCCTAGGATCAGTGATCCCTTTATGYTGCGATATCATGTCCAGGCTGAATGACTTTGGTCTGATATCTTGGCATGYTGGAGAAAAATACAATAGGGTTTTGTTCCTTAAATAGGCTGGYGCAAAATTTTTATTGCAGATTAAAMTTCAACTGCTACATTARTACTGCAAATAATGTAGTTAGTTGCACTACTAATTGTGTGGACAATTAATAAAAGAATGTGTTTAGTAAAAGCACATATAATGAAGGAATAGCATATACAAAGTTGGAGTTGATTCTTCTGATGTGATTGCATTAACCTTTAGGAATACTGTTTTTGTCATCTGTGGCTTGTTCCAGCTAGTACCTGAAAAAGCAAAAATATTTCAGGACATGACTTGAAAATAYTACATTTGGCTAAAAATTTGTAATGAATGGTCTCTGCTAATGATTTTTCTTTAGTTCAGCYGTGAAGTTATAGAAGAAGTGGAAAAATCTAAACGTTAATTATTGCTCTGGCAACCAGTATGAATTACTGCTTGACCACTTGAAATTCCAGGGCATGTTGACATGGCTTCACACTCCACAGGCTTCAACAGTATTGAACCTTTGCAGATTCCTCTATTCCAGTTTTTTTGTCAGAAAAGCATAGGTGCACTTGGGTATAAATATTTCCTAATATGTTATAACTTGGGAGACATTAGTTTGTACCAGTTGAAAAAAAGCATTTGCATCACAGAAATGAGATATTCAAGATTATCATTTTCTTTTTCTYAGGGTTTGGAGTGGATCAGTTACGAGATGATAATCTAGAAACTTACTGGCAGTCAGATGGATCACAGCCTCATTTGGTGAACATCCAATTTAGGTATTAAAATATTTTTCCTATGGGTTAGGGTGCTTTGTGTAACTTTGTATTGATTACTGTTCACCAGGATAGAAATTTTGGAAGTGCAAGAACTCCTGGGTTAGTTCTGTTACCCAACTGGTAAGAAGTCAGATAGCATTTATAAAAATGAGATTTTCAAATATTATGATCATTAAATGCCTAAATAAGAATAAAAGAGGAACGTTTAATGGTTTGTCCATTGTGACAGCATCACAGTTACGCTTATAAGGTAACTTACGACCTGATTCTGTGTCTTTGAGTGTCATTTGGAGGGTAGATGACTGTTACTGTATAACCYGACAGCTGAGTTGGAGAAACCTTTTTCTGTTCTGTCCTGTGTAGGATGCTATCAGTACTTTTACTTTAACCAAATTTGAGACTTCTTTGTTTACTTTCTTGAACATCTGGGTATAATAAGAGAGCCCATATTTGAAAAGCTTAACTTAAGCTTCATTATTTGGCATATTGACTTGTTTCTTGGTGTACTGACATTTCTGAAGGCAGGCAAAGGAGAATGGTGAAAATCAACTGTTTGCATAATATAATGTGGAAAAACACCTAGTACTTCAACAGCAAGTTTCTTATAAATCACTAGGCACATTTATATTCATTTTCAGAACATTTAAATCCTTAGTTATTGCAAGCTAGCAACTAACTAATCCTGAGTATTTTTCTTTATTATGCTTACACAGCTTGTGTTGCTTTTTGCAGAAGAAAAACAACMGTGAAGACGTTATGTATTTATGCAGACTACAAATCTGATGAAAGTTATACTCCAAGCAAAATCTCTGTCAGAGTAGGAAATAATTTTCATAATCTCCAGGAAATCCGGGTAGGTCAATGATACTTTGCTTTCTGTCTTAAGGCAGTTCTCTCTTGTTAGRACATCTGATGAAATAAAGTGGATTTTGGAGGTAAAATATGGCRTTGTGCTTGAAGGGGGAAAATGGCTGGGTTTATTTTGATGTTTGCTTTTAGTTTTTGTCTTGTAAATATAGTAGGCTGGTTTCTGYTTTTTCATCAGGCTTCTTTACCAAACATAATTATAATTAAATCATTATCTTTATAATTAAATATGTTCATAACTTACATTTTAATTTTGAGTATGGTTTCTAATCTTTTCGAAGGTTTTTTTTAATACTGAACAGTCACTGAGATTTAAGAATTTTGGATGGAATGCAGTTTTTTAACAAATGAATCAAAATTCAATTTTCAGTTCTGTAGATAGGTTTAAGATTTTGAATGAGACAGAGTTGAAGTATTTTTTTAATGTTTTCATTTACAAAAATGTAACAGTSAAATCTAGTATTTTTTCATACTGATGCTTCTAGCCAGAACAACTGTGATTTGAGTTGCTCTAACTGCTTAATTTTGCTTACCTTTAACTGCTTAGTTTTGCTGACCTTTTGGTAAATAGTAAAAGCAGATTTGAATAATCTATTATCTTGGTAGAAGTCCACCTTGAAACTAATCAGGTTACTCATAAGCAGGTATCTTTGCTCATTCTGAGTTAACAGCAACCTCATATTTCAAATTCCTGTTCTCTGGAGCTCAGCAGTTACTGGCTGGTATTTTGGGAAGGTTTAACTTACCARCCTTATATGGCAGGTATTACAATAACAGAAGGATTGGGATGACAAGAAAAAGATGGTGTCAAATGGCGGCTTCTTTTCTTACTTCTGGGATTTTYATTGTTTTCACTTTGCTTTTYAGTCCCAACAATTCAAAGYAMCACGAGCAACTTATAAGTAGAAGATTGTAGATAGTGTGGGAGTAAAAAACAGTGTAGTAGGCATGTCTGCTAGCACTATGTATCTGTCTTCATCCTTTCAATGATTTGTGGTGTTCTCTCAARTTTTGACCTATACTTCCATCCTAAATATTAAACGAAAGGTTCTGGACATGTTTGTTTTTCTTGAATTAATTAAATATTCCTTTGGAAGAAATGAATCACCAGCATCAGCTGCAAATTGTGCCTTTCAATCTTCCTAACTGTATCAAAGCAATTTGGGAGTTGCACAGTGTATGAATTACAGCCTCTGGATCTTTTCCGTTGGGCTGCCGATCAATTTCCCGAATGTCCACTAGATGTCATTGTTTGCCTTAATTATCAGTTTGATTTTTGCACTTTTATATGCCCTTTCAAAAACTAAACTATTATCTTTTTTTGTAATCATGCTTAATGCAGCACTATACATCTATCTGTCTAACTTAAGTTTCTTATACAGTGGTAAGCTCCCACTCTTGAAGGTATGTGTGTTGTTAACATATTAAAGATCTGTAGAAACAATAAAACGTATAACARGTGTATTAGTCTTCTGCAGTGTCTCAGCCAATATTTCTTTAGCTCTTTTCTTGCTAAACACGGGATTGTATGCATAATATATGTAGTTAAAAATGGCACTTCTACATGAAACAAATTACTAGGTTTTTTTGTGGTATATGAATGTGACTATAATATGATGCATGACAGAGTAATTTTTATGCATACCACATGCTCATGTACTTTTTTTACTTCCAAACTGAGGAGAAAATATGGTCACGCTTCTTATTAATGAGATACAATACCTCGATGCTGTAAAATGCTTGTGACTGTCATCACTATGATGTTGCATGTTGCTATCAATTTTCATATTTCCCAAAATGCTTGATACTGTTTCTTAAATTTTCCTTCAGTCCTGAAACTTTCTCCMTTCTTCAGCTTCTCTGACACATGGGGGGGTTATTAAAGCAGTGTGAACTGTTATGAGCTCTTTGCAGAAATCTGCTTAATTATACAATGATTCCATTGGCTTCAGTACTGATTAACTGGGTGGAAAATCAGGCTAAAGCATTTTATATTTTTCCATGGATGCTTGCCCAACTCATAGTGTCTAATGAATGTGTTTTCTTTCCTAATGGTCTAATWTTCAACACAATGCAATATGCTGTTAGGCTGAATTTTGTCACAAATATAAGATTAGCTTTAGTTTGTGATCTAGTATGTAGGCATGTCTTTTTGAACCTAAGATGAAATCATTTTCTAAATAAAAGGTTTTTTCCCCCCTCATTTGTACCAAATCATAAGAGTGACAKCAGCCATCACAATCTGGCAGGATTATTCCCTTTCTGCACTTAAGGTGTGTGCAGTCAGCCTTCTCCTCTGACTCAAATGCCTTAGTATCACAACTGTCAAGTTTTGAGAGCAAATATTTTCTCATTTCCAGTCATGGAGTTTTCCCACATGATGGTACAAACAGTCTGGATGGACAAAATAATCTGTAGAGGCATTTTTGGAACAGCATGCAGACTCTTCAGTATATAATTTAAGTTACTGCGTTTTTTTATGATCTGAAAATAACCCACTGCAAAGGATGTGAGTGAAATGCTGGCTGCAAGACATCTCTGGTCACTTCAAGTGATGCCCACCTGGTTATTGCATTTGTACCTCTCAGAGACATATAGGTGTTCAGCAGTTCATCTTGCTGTAAGAAGATAAGTGTTTTGATGCTCAGTACAGGTAGTCTTTCAGGGAATAGTCTATATCCATATATTATATATATATATATATATTCACCTGGTAGTTTCAGTGGTTTCTGCTGTCAGCCTGTGTGGAGGGTCTTTACACAGACTCAGATGAAAGCTCTGTAATCTTAATACACCTTTGATGGTCACAGTGTGAGGTTTTTGTTTAAGCTTTTTGCTGGGATTTTTTGTTTGTTTGCTTTTCCTTTGGATTGCTGTCTGGTTTGTTTTCTGTCTCTTTTGGCCTTGCTTGGTGTTTTGTAACAAGGTGCAAGCGCAGCAGCYGCCCTGGTGGTGTGGGGTTGTGACCGAGCACCACGGACAGGGCTCCTGTTGGAAGAGATTCTACACTAGAGAGGGGAATTACCAACTGGAGGMATGCCCTTGGGGAGCTTTTCCAAGAGGTAGTTAAGGAACTATGACCCTGCTGTAATGTCTTTACTCCTGCGGTGTCCAGTGACTGTAATGAAGAGGCTGGTTTTACCCAGACATTTTCTGATATCCAGCAGTGAACAATCTCCACCCATTTCCTGTACATGGAGTAAACATAGRTCCTGAGGAATGAGAACATGCTAGCGTGTCATAGGGCTGTTGTGAGGTACTCTGTCAAGAAAATGTATTCTTGTGAGTCTCTAACCAAACATCTCTAAGGTGTATTTCAAACTGATTTCCACTGAAGAYAGAGTACTGAACTGTTACTCCTTTAGATTCCTGACTAGGCTTCATGTACTTTGGTTAGAAAAAGTTCCTCTCTGTACTTTCTTCTGTTCAAGAAAAGAGGCATTTCTGATCCCTAATTATTCCTTGGGTTCAGAATAGAAATTAAAAAGAGTCAGTGTGCTTTCTGCAAACTACACTTGATGTGGAAAAGACTGAATAAACTTTAGTTTTATAGATTTCAATCTGTAGTCTTTCCTTTCTGTCTCTAGGATGCTCTGTAGACACAATCATCACACCAGTTGTTCATTTTGATTGTTATTGTGCTGTTGCACTGGTTGAGTATGGATTTGGTTCATCAGGATGCACAGTACCTGTTCCTTACATCTAAAATATACTGGTACTGGAAATCTGCAAAAGTATTGGTTAGTTATTAAGCCTTGTGATTGATGTCAAGGATAAAAATCAAATTTTGGAAGCAGGGTTATTTCTATTTGATGTAGTTGATATTCTGTACATTTTTCCACGTTCTAGTGGAGGATGTTTTGTGAATCCCCAAATGGGTTGCTGAAGTCAACTATCTTTACAAAAAGAAGGCAAATTAAATGACATAACATCACTGTTCGCTACCATCATTGTACCTGATATGACCTTTTGCCATTCGTGTGCTTATGGAAATATCTAATATATACTTCAAGCTTTGGAAATTATGAACAGGATTACAATTTTTCTGCCCTTTTATACTATGGAATGGTAATGCATTACAGTAGAGTTTACTATGCAGTCATGAGAAATACAGTTATTGAAATAGCCTATTATGCTTAYGAGGTGTGTGTATCCAAATAGGGAAGTCCATATTAGATCTAATAGAAGTATGAACAAGGGAAGATTATTTTGGCCCACACAGTATAAAATTAAGCATTTTTATCTGACCTTGCTCTGAAATGGTATTTTAAGAGAAATAAACATATCTTCTGTTGGATCTTAGAGGAAAGCTAAACATGGCTTTTATGCTGTGGTACATGCTGCATTTTTTCTTTTGTTACTGAACATTCAGAAACAAATCTTTGAAGGAACCTTTTCTTACCACAGAAGGGCTCAATTAGGCAAGGGTACCTTAAAGAGGCCCTGTATTTTTAATACTGTCAGTCTGACTTTACTTTGTGAYGCAGAGGAAAAGCCATGTGAAACAAGGTGGCAGCAGCTCTGTGGAAGGCAGCAACTTGATGCAGTACAGAGCTTTCCTCAAGGGARCTCAAGTACAGAGGGACTAGGAACTAACTGATCAAAACACTAAATGTTACATRTATGTGAAAGCCTCTCCTGCAGTGACTGCCTTTCTCATGATTATTCATTTAAGTTCCACCATGGAAAAGAAATTGGAAAATCACYCCCTCRCAGTAAATAATTTCTTCCTAATTTCTAATCTAAACCTTAGTTTAAAACCATTCCCCCTTGTTTTATCACTACATGCAGTTGTAAAATCTCTCTTCCTCTTTCTCGTAGGCACCCTTGCATACTGGAAAGCCACTATTAGGTCACACYACCACCTTGTTTTCTGTAGCAAGTGTTTGATTACATTGTTTCATCTCTTTTCAGTGCTTGAAGTTCTGTTAGGAGGATTTGAAAATATTTCCCCAAACTCTTGTTGGTTAAATATTTTACTTCTGT